ACGTATATATGTACAATGTTTGTTTTACGATAATCAGCAAGCAATCATTATCGTTATTGAACTCGGCGTTTATTTTTGATGTAATAAATTTTTATTACAGATAGTGTGTATAGCTTCTATTGAATTTTAATTTTTGCTCGTCAATCCACCCAGTGGTGAGTTATAATGAGGACAAATCATACTAAAATAGTAGTCTAGATTTTGATTTGAACGGAACACGAACATTGCAGCTAGTCACCAGCACTGAATTAGATATTTCAATAATGCGACAAAGAAACCAAATGCTATTAACTGTTTGGTTTTCGTTGGTAATATTTGTAGTATGTGAAGGTGGCAGTACAGCAGCCACATGTTCTTAGGAATACCTACGAAAGAAACGAAAGTTTGTGCGTAGTGGTAGTGATGTGTCCTGGGGTATAGGAAGGGGAAGGCATTTAGATGGGTCTGGTCTTTAGATCTCGGTCAAATTTCGTGAAAATTTGTTGGTTTGTTGGCTACAGGCTTCAATTATTAATCAATTCCCAATTATTATTTTAAACTTAATCTTAAGAAGACATAAGAATCGCTCGGAGCCTGATTTTTAATTTAGGTGCTAATTTTTTTTACATCACCTTAAAAGTATAAAAATCACGTTTTTTTGTAAAAAAAGAAGTTATTATTATTTATATTTAAAAATCAGAAAAAAGTTATGTAACATCTTGGCGACATTGTTTTATAGTATTAGGAATTTTTAATCTAAAAATTGTAGTTATTATTATCAAATAAAAAATGGAATTTTCTTAAAAAAACATTTCAGAATTCTATTATGACTTAAAATTTGTGAGTATAGGCATAATGAATCAAAAGTATCTCTATATAAATTCTAAAAATCTTCTTATGTAAGGCATTTTTTCTCTACTTTTATGCCTAGTGTGAAAGTCTACTATTGAAGACTTCCAAACAGAACTTCAAGCAGACATTAAATGTCGCATTGTTATTTCAAAATTTGAGGAATACTTTATGATTTTAGATTCCTTATTGTAACCTCTTATGACCTTATGACCTCACTTGCTTATTTTAATCTTAAAACGTATGAGTAATATCCTGATTACCTCGTAACATATAATTTGTAATAGGCAATTTAAGAAATAAGAAATGTTTTTTAGATCTCTAGAAATTTCTCTAGCTGTTTTTTTATGAAATAGGGGGCATAAAAGGGGCCTTATTCATATTTGAAAGCTATTGTTGTGGTGGAACGCAACTTTAGAAAGTATCGGAAACCCTTTTAAACATGATTATGATTATTCTATGTAATAAACAATGTTAATAAGATGTTAAATGTACATTTTTTTAGATTTTTTATATATAAATAACCTGCCGCTCTTTACAAAAAAAATAATTTCATACTTTTAAGGTTTTGTTACAAAAATTTGAACACCTAAATTAAAAATCGGACTGCGAGCGATTCTTTTAAATCTTCTTGAGATTACATAAAAAAACATTGGAAATTGGTTAATAATTGAAGGCTGTAGCCGGTTTTGAACATATTTTCCCGGTTTGGCCTCAGTGTGCGCCGGCGCACCTCATGAACGGGCAGCGTGACATTGGCATTAAATACGTTTGCTTTTGGCTATGCTATAACTCTAAATTCTAATTATTTTCTGATTATTTAAATAATATATTTTATCAGGCTTTTATGTCTATAAAATTACTACATTACTTTAATGTAATCTCTATAAGGCAAAATTCTTCAACCTTCAAAATCCCAATCCCAACTAATTATCGTATACCACTAGTAAGTCATACATAGTAAGTACATACATATATTTATGTCAATAGAATAGAATTTGAATATTGGTCTGGATTTGATCATAGCTCGCCGCATAATGTATTAGTGTTTTAAACGATAAGAAACCTATGAATGATCAAACAATGAAAAGAAACCCAAACAAATATCGAAAGGTTGAGGATGCAAATTTAAAATTTATCTTTATTTTATGCATTTAAATATGATTAATTTTCCATACGTAGACAGTACCATTCTAAAAGAAGGAATAACAAGTATTATTCATTGCCTAATTCAGACACCACACAAGAATTGTTTTTAATGTTAATTACTCGTATTATTGATGTGATGTAAGTTAATGTTGTATTGATTAGTGATTGTGAGAAGGAAATAAAGAATTATTATTGTCTTACACGAGCTTATGTTCCCGAATTTAGACTAAAATCGCATGGCTTACTCTTGAGTTATAACTTATAATATTTAGAAACCGCCTTTCTTCATTTATAAATAAAGTGAAGGAATGGACACGAGATAAATTCTGTGAAATAAGAAAATAGTAGCAATAATTCCACTTCAACACAAGTACTAAGCTCTTTAGGGATTGGATTCTGTAAGTATGAAAACCACACGACTCGATTCTGGCAGTTGACACGGCGACACTTAAACCACTACGTCAACCGTGTAATCAGAATAGGACTGTAAGGATGGCTTTATATTCTGTACGTGGCACGTGGCTCCGGAGTGGATTCTAGACTAACCAAATTCAAGTGTACAACTTTCTACTGATGCACTGCAAAACAATAAGGTTTAGGTATTTTTCTGTTTAACAAAAGGAATAAACACGTCCCATGTGACTAAGTCCAAGATTATTTAATATATTGATACCCAATGTTAATAAGATGTAAGTTAAAAATTTGTTTTATTTTTACAAATTGTTAAAACTTTTGAGATGGTGTTTTTCCTATGGGGTTTTTCCAATGACAGGACGGAAATATTTTCTTTATCCCAATTTACCTTCTTGCCTGGGGCCCATCTAAAAACAACATTCCCAAAAAGTGCCGTCAGGTCCTCGAGCAGGCAGCCGATCATAAAAGAAAACAGCCGAAACCCATACATTGAATGATACAAATGGCAGTGACCCTTATTAAAATTGGGAGGATTGTTGATAATAACGATATGATTATAGTTAAAAATTAGTTTGTAATTTGTTTTAAAAATGTTGCTTGATAAGTATGAAGTATATAACAATACACGAATAACTAACATTCAATGAAATTTGTGTTTCAGTTTCATTTTCTTATCAGACGGGAAACTATAACGAATTACCAAAATAATAATGTTTTCAAAATACATTTGTTTTATTTTTCTTCCATCAAGAATATACTTTATGCTACGAATAGTTTTGAAAAGATAACAATAGATGAACAATAGTCGTTGTGCGTAGTGTGCAAAACTTTAAAATATAATAATAAATAAAAATAAAGTTTTGTTATTAAGTTGTTATTTATACTGCTATGAAAAAATAAACTAAACATTTTTTACCAGTCAATTTTTTCACTACCTGTTTCAGTTTTTTGTAAGAAAATCTTTGCTATTAAATAGAGCAAAACGTTTTATTTTCTTCCATATGTACGAAACACATAAATGGCCTCAATGACTTTTTTTATCAGGAAATTGATTGTACTGATATTTTTTCTGATAAACTATCATATTTGTCATTACTATATATAGCATAAGGTAACGTACATTGAGAAAAATATCAAACAGAAACATCAAATTTAATACTTAAGTCCATTTAATATAACGTATGTAAATTATTGAACATAGCTAAACTATAGTTACATTTAAATGTAAAATACCATTTTAGATGTAATAAAGATATTCGTTGAAAACATATTTTACACTTTCTGTCTGTCTTTTTGTTGTATGCGTATTGAGGTGAAATTTTGTATTTAATTATAAAAAGAATTAAAGTGATGAAATAAAATATAAAACATATATTTAATAAGAACATTCATGACCTTGCTACTACCGTAATATTAAACTTCAAAAATGATTACATTATGTATTTAAAATACTGTTTGCAGTTTCTCTTTCTTTCTAAAAAGCGAATGCCAAGGCTAGATATTAATCTGTATATATTTTTAAATTGTTTCTGCCTCGTTCCTCTAAACTAAGTTTGTCAAATTAAACCAGATGCTTTATTTATCAATGTAATATGGGACAATGAATTAATAATCAAATTAATAGATTACTGTATCAATATTTAAGAATCAATGATAAACAAATTGGGGACGATTCTGAGTACCTATTTCAAAATATGATGTTATCCATATATATTATGGATTTTTCGCGCAGATTCGTACAGCTTGGTGAATATAATATTAGAATTCCTGCCTAGGTGGCGCCTTCTTCATAAGATCTTTTTTCATATTGGTGCCGATTTTATCTGTCGTATTAGACGGGCAATATCTTGTTGATGTAACGTTTGTTTATATTTATGTATTAATAGTGTAATTAATATCTCAAAAGTGTAAAATTTTCAAACCGATATGCTTATATTGTTTTACTTTTTATGGATTATATTATTTTAAATAAATATGTATCTTGTTTATCATCTTTTCTGAAACAGAAGCAAACTATGTTATCTACTGAGACGCTGTCAAACTAGTAAACAAAGCGATAAAGAAAGATAACAGAACTCATAAATTACTAACATAACACTTCTTAATATAACTCAGGTCGTACCCTATTTCGTTATTGTCTATGGTGTATTTAGTTTTTTTTTAAATTATATTTCATTTAATTGGTCACTTCTTAGACGCATAACATCAAATATATTTTATATAAAATTTTATATAAAAGAACAAGAGCACACTAATTTTAGTACCTATTTGTCAGTAAAAAAAATTGTTTTGTTTTGTTTGATATAGTTGTCAGCATGTTAAAAACATTTCAACCTAATTATAAGGTTTTTTATTTGATAAGATAAGTATTACGGTTGGTTACGTACGAAATTTTCTTGATATTTATAACACACAGATAATAAATGATGTTTACCTATTTCATTTTTTAATCAATATTTGAAACTTTCTTTTAAATCCTTTGTTAAAAATAATTTATCGGACTTACCTGGGTGTAAGATTTCCAAGGATCAACCTTTTTCCATAATTAAATCACACATCACACAAGCAAAACCATTTTTTTAACACTAAACTGTAAACACAACACCAACCTTTTTTGGAGGAACCGCTTCCGAAATTCCATGTACGCTGACCGGCCTTTATCTTCTGTGTCTCCTATCCGTACGCGTCCATGTAAGGGTACCCTATGCCCTGATATGCCATAGTCCATTTGGAGGTCCACGACGAGCATAAGGGTGAACAGTACGAGGAAGGCGCTAAGCGCGAGCGCGAGGCGCTCTTTGAGCTTCATGTTGAGCATGGTGCGCGCGGTCGTGCGGCGCGGCGCGTGTGGACTGCGCGCATGATCCTCGGGCGTCGGCGACCGCTTACAATCGCGCGCGCACACCGCGCCGCTGCCGCGCCACCTTCGACGCCACCGTGCGCGTGCCCAGCCGCTTAAGCTGTCAACAAAACAGAAGCTGCTGTTAGACACATCAAATAGAAATTAAGAATATTTTAACTAATAATTGTGTTAAACTTACTTGTAGCATTACGCTTTTAGTGCTTATTATCACAGTTACAATAAAAGTGTGAACTGAGTGTTCTCATGACTTAAAATATTATTTTAATATTTTTATTAAATTGCGTTTGGATTAATAAAAAAATAGTTTAACAAATTTTGTTCGTTAACTCTATACTTAATTGAATAAACAAAATAAATTAAATTGTTTGTAACCCAAACTGCCTATCAAATTAGAAGAAAATAGTCTGAATGAAAATAATAAAAAATGTCTAGATTACTTCCTGATTTTTAGGTAAATAAATACAAATTACTTTAAGATATAAATACATTCAACACCATCATCAGGTACTTTTTAAATTCTGATCGTTAAAAGGAACTTCTAAAGTTTTCAACTATCGCTATAGTGCCAAAAAACCTTTTAAAACGTTACAACCTAACATTAAAGAAGTAAATCAGAAACACAATGTAGAGGCCCGTTATATTTCTTGAAATAACAGCATCAAAGTTTGAAATTGTCACTATAAAAACAGCTTTCCATCTAGAACATGAATAATTTACAATAATAAAAAGATATCGCATCAACAATGCGATCAAAAGGTATTGTAACCAAGTAGTATTATCAAAGACTATTTGACTATTTTATCATAAAATGTTTGCATCTTAAATTTTTCAATATTCTGGAAATTTTAACAAGAAATTGCCATCTTCGTAATTACTAATACATTCTACTTAAGCACAACAATACACTTAACAAACATTTCCTGAAATTTGTCAAGCGATTTTCTTTATTTTTCCTTAAAATTTTGAAATAAGTCGTTAAGTTTTTTTGGCATTTAAAGCATGTCATGTCCTAGGGCACGATACAGGCTGAGCCTAGTGTGGCTATCATAGTAAATAAAGCAATAATTGTGTAACCTTAAACGAAAATTAATGCTTATTATTATTATTTTACTAGTTTTTGCCCGCGGCTCCGCTTGCGTGTATGTGGGTTATCGCGGTATATTAATAGTAGTCGATGTATATCTTTCCTCAAGAATCAAACTATCTCCATACCAAAATCTAAATCGGTTCAGTAGTTTAAGTGTGAAGAGGTTACAGACAGACAGACAGAATTCGAAATAAACGTTTCATTCTTCCGGAACTTTTTGTTTGAAACAATTACCTTTTATTACTCAATTTATTATTGAATTGTGAAGCTGCTATCAGCAAAACAAACTAGTTATAAAATATTTTCTAATTTATTTGTCAACCGAAAATAATTGTTCTTTTGTTTATTAGTAATGGTGAAATTTTAGGGATATAAATATAAAAATTGGCAAAGATGTTATTGTTAATGATAGGTTGTCACATACGGAAAGTCTACGAGTATATAATAATAACAGATCAAGTTGTAATTGGCGTTGAAATTAAAAAAGCACGCAAAACGATCGAAATACGATCTAAAAATTTCTAGTAAGTAAAATTCTGTGCTAGATTGTCATATTTGTAATAGTTTTATTGCCATGCATTGCAAAGTTGTTTTCTAGCTCAAATAATTCTGTTGATTATGGCATGTAACATTTCACAGAATATGCATTTTTTTACCTTGCCAGCAATTTTATGCCTTGGTAATTTGTTTTGCTTAAGTGACTGTATACGTGACTAATACTAAAGAAATAACTGTAAACAATAATACAAAGGTCTATTTACTTTACAGTATTTATAAAAAAAGAGCCAAGACGTGATGTACAGTGTTATATTTTTATGGTCTACTGATTAGTTCCTCCTGATTGCTGAGCTAGAGGGTGTGGTTTCGATTTCTACCAATATAGTATATATACTAAGAATATATCCCATTACACATATATGTATTTAGTAATATATAAGCATTTTTATCAGCAGTCAGTCCGGTTATCATAATTCCTGCTCCTGTTCAATTATTGTTATATTTTACTCTGACGTGATTGGTTTACTGTGTACTGTTTTTGTCACGTGATCTACAATGTGGAAACCCCTTTTTTGTTTTTCTGTGTATTTGAACGTAGTATAGTGATAAATAATATATTTCGTACGTAAAATCTAATTTTGTAAGTTACACATTTATTCGATAAATTAATATTTAGTGTTAAAATCATGGCAATATAGTACTCATTCTCTTTCTCCACCGACGACTAATGTTTAAATGGTCCAACGTCCATGTAACGTGATCTTCACCTTTCCCGTAACTTACTACCCTTACAAAGCTTATGAAATATCAAAAAATTTCATTATCAAATTAAATTTAACTTAAATACTTATTAAGATTAAATTAATCATGACCGTTAAGGCATACACGTCACATGGTACTGTTAAAATTTTCATGGCCATATAGTCTACGGCCATCAAAAGTAAGTACATATTCTTATCTGGGGCCATGCGGTCACATATCATATTTATACTAAGATATAAGTCCTTACATAAATTATCTTCATCCTACTTAGTATTAAATAGCTAAGTAACAAAGTATTGGCTAACACGAATCGTCTACGATTGCAAAACAAGCGTTTCGTAGTGTCATGTAAACATACTAGAACAGGCGCATAATATAATGTGACACCATCGGCGAATAGCATGAGTGACATTTATATGTGGCAGTTATTGGTGCTAATTCTATTGTTCGAAACCTCTAAACTAAACTAAAAATCAAGTCAAGTACTACTTTTTCACAGTACGAGACGTTGTTTGACAGGACTAAACAAATTTTTAGTGATTTTTAGTTTAGTTTAGAGAGTTTCCGAACAACATAATTAGCACCAATGTTTTATTTATTATTTAATTACAATTTTATGTCTACTTATACATAATGTTACTTCGTGGGTTGTATTTATCTCTACACTTTTACAGTTCTAGCTTGTAACATTACCTATAGTCCTACCTTAGTTAAAGTCCTGTAGAAATCAGTTCAATCAGTAGAGATTTTAAGGAACAACCGGACAGACAATTAGACAAAAATGTTGCTTATATAAATTTATTTGTTTAGATTTGTATAAATATATTTGTATTTTGGGGATGCACGACTAGTTTCTGTGTTTCTATCTGTGAAATCAGATCTGTCAGACCAGTTTCATATTTTTTTTTTCGAAAAAAAACTTAATCGTGTCAGCATCGATCGCTCCGCTGTCACAGTTTTCTTATACATTGAACTTCTCATTTGAATGGAATAAAATAAAATATATATCATATACTGGTATGCATCATTATTAGGGTTATTTACATAGAAATCGTAATAGTGTCTTATTATTACGATTTCTGTGGTTATTTATATTCTAATCGAGTGATGATTGCAGCTGCGACTGTATTTTAAATTATATCAATATCACTTGTTTTGCATTCAATATTAAGCAATACTTTACAACAAGACGTTGCCGTATGTTTTCAAATATTGAATGCTTTTAAATGTTTCGTAACGTTATCCATATGAAACCCACTTATATTATGTTACATACTTATAAAAGTGAGTTTGTTTGTTCGTTTGTTGGTTTCTCTTTCTTCCACTAATGTAAAGCTATATTATCAGTGAATAACATAGGCGATTTTTTACCGCGATAACCGACATACACGCAGGTGGAGCCGCGGGCAAAAGCTATACTAGCTTGATGATAAATAAATTATAATGATAAATTAATTCATTTTGCAATTATGTAAATCTTTATATTGGCATTTTCTCGCCAATTTGTTATTTAAACCTGGATGGTGCTGGTATTTCCTTTGATCATCCTTGAGAAAAACACCGAAACAAACTCAATGGTTCAAGTTTACATAAACTAGAATCTGTAGGGTTCCCACACGGCGGGGGGTCGTCTACTCGTCTGTAGATGACCCGAGGTATGTCGGGGCACCAGGGACTTCCTTTCTAGGGTATACCTGGTTCCCCGGCTATAAGTACCCGAGACGGCGTGCGGTTTTAGTCGGTTCGAGTCCGACATGCCACCGACAGGTGGTTTCCGAGGGGATTTCCGCATGGAAAAAAAAAGGTGCGCCAAGGTATTCGAATCGTCTGGTAGCTTCTTCGGAGCTTAACCAACCCATCGGCTACAGCAGTCAGAGTTTTGGGAAAGCAAATGAAATACTCAAAACCGCCAAAACGTTGTAAAATTAGGTTACAAATGCTAATTTAAATGACACTTTCATCCACAAACACAATTAACAAAAAAGAAATAACGTCACGATCGAGCATTCTCAAATATTCTTATATTGTACTCTTAGTTCATCGAGAAGATACCGCAAACCTCTTGTATCACTCGCAATTTGCACCTTATAAAATGGACGTTTCTACAATTCGAGAAAGTTACTCGGTATTCCATGAAAGTGTACGTCAGACTAACATATTCAATCTGCAAGTTAAAGATCACGTGAAGGTTATCCATCATGTGCATGAGTTGAATACCGTGCTTGACACTACCGTTCGGATGGAAAAACGGATCCGACTTTCGATATGAAAGTTCTAGAAATCTTATTGGAACTATTTTGCTACGTTAGGGCGTTTGCAAAAATTTGTATTTCGATATTTTTTCGATATTTTTTCTGTCTATTTTTATTGAGAACTTCTTATTTGTACAGTTGAGTAAGAAAGAAATACAAATCAACATGCGCTTATGATTATTAGAAATATGAGGTTAAAAAATCTGACTCCAATGTTCTTAAGAATTGATTACTAACAATATTTCCATTAGGTACAAACTAGCAAATATCACGAAACAAAAACAGGTGAATTCTAAACCGCTACTTTGCCTTATAGAATTTTATTTTTTAAATAGACACAACCCGGCGAGTAGTTCTCAAGTGACACAAACCCATTGCGCCAAGATCTAATGTCTTCTAGAGCTCTATCCTAATTTATCACACGCAGACGTACAACACTATTATAGAACCGTTATTAGCCGACATAGTTCCAAAGTCAAGCCGAAATATGCAGTACATCGCACATGGATGGATTATACCTATTTGTAAAGTTGGTTAAGATTGAGGTTACAGCAGAAAGTCTTTCATGTAATGTAGGTACTACTAACCACGCGACCTACCGTGATTCTCGTGTAAGTGTTTGTTTCACAATATTTACTCAAACAAGCCATTAAATAAAACAAGGTAGCCTTAGCCAGCCTATGCGAACTGTTAAAACAATCAGCCTATTAGGACCATTATGTACATAAATGTATTGCACATATTCATTGAATGCGCACCCACAACGAATAGTAAACATTGCAGATTTTCTGTATTAATAAAGACCAACCAAATCAATTACGTACGCAAACTTAAACTTTAAATTTTAAAAAAAATAAGACAACTCCCGCGTTAGCAACATATCCTGTGTCGCAGGGGATTTACAAACGTACATGAAACGGACACAAGAACACCCAGACTCAGAACAATTATTTCTGGATCACACAGTGTTGTTCCATGTGGGGATCGAACACACAACACTCAGTGAAGTAGGAAGCGACGTAGTGACCGCTTTAACCACTACGCCATCCGTGCAGTCAAATTGAAATTGAACTGAAGTCAAGTATATTGCAAAATTGCTATTATAATGTTACCTGTGATATTGCGGGTCACACTTATTTTAGTTTTTTTTTAAATATCGATTTGTACCCTTTTTTAATTTTTGGTGCACTTTGTTAGTATTGTAATTTAGTTCCCAAACCCAGTCTGTTGAACTAGTCAAACGAATTATGTGTGCTCAAAGTTTGAGGTGTTTACTGGTATCCAATAAGCACACCATGTCCCTATCACCCATAGACATACAAAGTTTTATTTTTAATACAACAATTAGAAGTATTTAGTATTAAGTTAGTTACATGTGAAACTAATAAAAATCATGTGAAAATAACTGATAGAACATTATTAGTAGCTGGCATATCACAAGCCGATTGAGAATATTTAGATCCTAAGTAAATATCTTTTCCTAGAGGAATCAATTGGACAGATAATTTGTCTGAGCTCTTGTGTATCAGTAGTACTACTTTGATTGCAGATATTACATAAATTTAAAAACATATTGTAGTGTTGTCTTTATTTAATAAACAAAATTATACTTGTACGTCTCTTTAGAGCTTTTTGCTAAAAGCTTTAGGTAGTAAGGTTGAATTCCACGACTGAATTAATTAAGTTATTAATACCTGAGTACCTAGAACCACAATTTTCATTGAAATTCAAGTACGAGGATGTCGCTAGGCCACTTATTAAAATAATGAAAGACAATTTTTGACATTCCATTTTTATTTTTAAGTTAGTTGAAAAAGAAGCACAACTTTTATTTATTTGACAAATATATTAAAAGGAAGGATTTTGGATAGTTCTAGAATTAAAATCGACACACAAGGTGTCACTTGTCAGTCAATTAGCCTACGGCAGGCTGTCCACTGCTAGAAATAGGACTCTCCTAATTTGTGCCATAGTACACGGCCCTCTGTAGCATTTATTTATACTTTCTCCAAATACATTGCATAAGGCAGATTTAATGCCATAGGCATTTTCTTCCAGTCAACCTTTAGGTGATGCAGATATGCGTGTATGACAGATGTAAAATTAGAGCAGATGAGATAAATTATTTTTAATGGTTGTCAGTTGCAAAATGTTATACTACATAGATATACTACGTATACATATATAAATGTAAATATACTTTATATGCTATATAATACTATTAATATAAAAAGCATAAACATACACATACATGCATACTCTGACTGCACGGATGGCGTAGTGGTTTAAGCGGTCGCCACGCCGCTTCCTATTACGCCGAGTGTTGTGGGTTCAAACCCCACATGGGACAACACTGTGTGATCCACAAATTGTTGTTCTGAGTCTGGGTGTACTTTGTGTCCGTTTCATGTATGTTTGTAAAGTCCCCCGCGACACAGGATTTATTCCTAGTGCGGGAGTTGTCTCCTAGTGTGTCAGGACACACACCTCCAGGAAAAGATAGCAGTCGAGTTGGTTGGTGATTTGGAGAAATCGGAACGTAGGTATATTGCGACACCACCGCCCCTTTTGTTTGCATTGTCGTTTCTAATAAGAACGAAGCCTGGGAGAGGATAAAAGGTGGAAAGAAGTTGGGGTTTGAGCCAAGTCTCGTAAATCAAGATGGCCTCCACATTTGAGCTGTTAAAAGTTTCCCATAAGTCACTATAGTGACTGGCTATGCTTTGAGCATTTATGTGACAAACGTTAAACATACGATGACATTTTTGAATAAAAGTACTACTACTACTAAGTATTTTTTATTTTATTTATTTAACACAAACAATGTAGGTAAATAACATTTTTGGTTTTTTGGTACTGTAAAACCACTAAGGTTTATAGTAAGTTAGTTCATGTACGGAAAATGGTTAATACATAGTATTTGAGAGATACATTTCGATATTTTAGACAAGGGACGAAGATAAATAAAA